CTCTCATCAATGCCCTATCTACACTTCATCCCTAATCTTTGCTCTTCACCCCACCCCCCCAAATGCTTGCTGTTGCCTGTAACTACAGAGAAGTTGATGGATGACTAGGCTCTTGCCTACTGTGTTCTAGGAGAGACCAGTGCTTAGTACTTTGGCTTTTATACCAAAAATAAAAATAAAATAAAACCCTTATGCTATCGCAAAAATGGAGCACTACAAAGAGTAGGATTGCACAGTTGCATGCTATTTTAGGAAGTAGACAGTTGCCTAAACACAAATTTAAGGCATGGTGGGATCGTATTCATGTTCTTGGAGAATCGCACTTAGGGAAAGGGACACCATTTTGGGCTAATGCCAAAGCTACTCAAAACCTTCATCTCCATTCAAAGTGTCCAGTACTTTCTCCTGGTAAATGTGCTCATGCTACCAATAGCCTAATAATGTGATTGTTGCAAAACTCTCACCACACAACCCCTTTTCTGTGATGGGAAGAGGGATTAGATTCTTGTGAATCAATAGAACTGGGAGGAAATCGATAGTCACTGAGCCAGTCCCTTCTTCCTTCACCTCTAGGATTGAAAAACTATGGAATGAGAAGGCACACACCACTTTAGACCTGATCAGCCTTTTGGAGAACATGCTGCTGCTCTGTTCTTGTTGAACAATCTCCTGCCCTCCAAGGCTGAAGGAGTTAAGTGCCCCTGTAGATCCTCAGAAGTCTGGCTTATTCTAACACAAGACACTTCCACAGTTCCCAGTGAGGCTGTCATTATGATCCTGCCTTGCCTCAAGCCATTCCCAGAAATTTGCTGATCCCCAGACCTGTCACTGGATATGCACTGTGGAGAAATTACAGAAAAGAAAACTTCTCACAAGGAGCCTTGGTGAGTCCTCTCCCTTGCAAGGGTCACATCCTTGTCACTTGATAAATGGCTCTGTATTAGGATAGCACGTGATTCTGGTGGAAGGGAAAGCTGAAAATGAGTGCTGTAACTTCCCATCCTCCAAAGCTTCGAGTGGTTATCTCTCCCAGGAGCTATTGTCCGGATCCAGAATAGAAGAGCTAGCAAATAGTCAGTTTCCTAGGTGTCACTTTCATCTTTTCTCCATTCTTCTGAGCCACTCAGCTCTCCCAGGGCAGATATCGAGAACCTAATTAAGCCATCAGAGTGTTGACCCACTGCTGCCCCCACCAGCCTAGTGGACACTGGCTGCCACGCAGGCCCCTCCAGCCCATTTCCCCATCTCCCTCTGATTTCCTGTCATTTGTATTCTGCCCTCTGTGTGCCTTAGAAAGATAAAACTGCTGGAGTTCAGAGTGCATCAAAACCACTCCCCCTCACCTTCTAACCAAAGCAGATTTGAGGACTGTTCATTCATGTACCCAGCAAGCATTTATGGGATGTGTACTATGTGCTGGGCCCAGAGGGGGAAGAAAGAAACCAGAGTATTTGGCTCCAAGAGAACAAAATATTCAGATCTAAGACCAGACCCATCCTGGAAGTAAGTAGGTTACAGGGGTCTGAGGAGCTTGGGGACAAATTCATGAGGCTAGGTCAGACAGAATAATTTCCAGGTCTTCTAAGACTGTCCACTTAACAGGTTTATGAAGTGTGTTTCCTCCAGAACAAGGGCTGAGCTCCCTATCTCCACAGGAAGAAACAGAGACATAAGCCAGGAAACAAGTCCTGCTGCAAGCCCGCCAGCTGCCCTCTGAAGCCTGCAGCCGCATCTCATTGTGTTGGGTCCCTGAGGGCACTCCAACCACCCCAGCCTCTGAACATCCCATGGGTTTAGGCCACCAGGCAGTGTCCGGCCCCTATTTGCCATGAACACAGAGATCCAAGGCAATTTTTTATTTCAGGGAAGATCAGATGGGGCAGAGGCCAGAGCACACTGCCAGCCCCACATGGCGTCTCTCTCTTCCTATAATAAGACAGATGGTGGGAGTAGATGTGGGGGGGCCATAATATGAGACAACTTTGCACTGACAGTAGCCCACTGCAATGGAAGGTGAGGAGCACAAATGAGTCCTTGTCTTCCTGGGATTCCATGGTAGCATCTCAAGGCCTGGAACTCAGCAGAGTCACTGAGCACACAGAGCCAATGACCAATCAGAGGAGCAACCTGATCTGCTGAGACCAGGACACAGTGAGTGTGGGACTCAGGGGTGGACTCTGTGGAGAGACATCTGGATGGAAAACAGGCTGCTGAAGAACCGGGCTGGGTCACTGATGCACAGAAAAGAAAGGCAACACTGTCCACTTTTCCCTTCTTCCCTATCTGACTCAGCTGCAGGTGTGCCTTGGGCTGGAATTTCAACCTGCCTTTCAGAGACTGACCTGTAGCTCCTGTGGCTTACCCAATCCACCTTTTCTTGAGAGAAAAATAAGTCTCATCCTGGTGGCTCACAATATCAGAAAAATGGAAAACAGCCAGCAGGTCATTCTTCTGCTAATAGCCCTCATTCATAAGGATTCCAAGAATAATTCAAAAGTCAATGACATCATGTTCCTGAAGGTATCATATTGCTGAATTTCAGATGCACTCAGTTCACGAGGGAGAAAACAGCTCTTTCAGGGTCTCAGTCCCCTGCTCTCATCCAAACTCTCTGCTCTCCTGGGCCTGTGTAATAGCAGGGGGCTTGGGAGACTCCAAGCAGGGAGTAGAGGCAACCTCACCCCTGGATCTGAGACCAGCTGGAGGGCAGGACCCGAACTGCCATCTTTCACCTTTCTGACCAGCTGCTAAACAAGCCTAAACTCAAGTCGGCTGTGAAGACTATTGTCCTGCCACAGAGGCAAGACTGGGTGAGGTGTGCAGTGTGGCAGGCTGGGGACAACTGGCAAGTGGTAAAAAGGCACACACACTCCAGGAGGTGGATCTAGAAGCGCAGAATGAGCAGAAGTGCAAGGACCTCTTCAACAACTACAATAACTCCATCCAGCTGTGTGTGGGGAACCCTAACGACAAGACGGCCACTGCAAGCATAAAGAACAAGAATCATCCCTGTTGCCCCAGGGACACAGCGACACTGGGGTGGCATGGCCAGGCCTTCTCCCACACAACAATCTGAGTCCACTCATGGGTGGAGCCATGCTCTTCCCAGGATGTTTAGCCCAGGCGTCTCCCTCCAGCCAATCTCTTGACCTTTGTCCATGGGACAACAAGAGGAGGGCTTGCAACTGGGTTGAGCTGGAGAGAGGACACAGGCTCATGGGGCAGGTAGATCACAGAGGATCCACCAAGCCCCCTGACACTCAGAGCCATGGTGAATGGTAACCACTCAGCCACTACCCCTATGAACAGCTGGGCCCTGAGAGGGGGTCAGGAGAGCCCCAGGGAGAAAAGGATGCTGAGCAGGGTGAAGCCAGAGGGCTCTGACTGAGACTTCTCCCTTCTCTGTGCACAGAGGGACTCCGGGGGCACATTCACATGTAACAACGTGGCCCAGGGCACTGTCTCCTTTGCAAAAAAGCATGGGAAGCCTCGACACAGCTTCACCAGGATCTCGAGCTTTCTGCCCTGGATAAAAAGCACAATACTTCATGCAGCAGGGCCCAAGCTCAGGTCCCCCCAGGATTGATCCGTGCATCTTTTCAAGGGCAGAGGCCATAACTGCCCTTGGCAGAGTGGAGCATAGGGGAGGCTGCAGGGACCTAATAAACTTCCATTTCTAGTGTTAGAAATCATTGATTCCTCATTTATTCACCAAAATTCCTATAGTCTATAGCTTATTGAGTAAATATTTCTTCTATTTATCAAGAATGTCTTTTTATATAAGAATGGATTAAGAAAAGTAAAATTTTAAAAACTTCCACCTTAGAGAAGGTTAGACAATAAAGAAGTAGTCTGCTGAATGCTTGCCATTGATGAGTGTGCTCGACTATGGGAAAATGTATGTTGGGTGGAAAAGTATTAGATACTCATCAGAGAAACACAGTAGAAGCAGAAAACAGCAATAAGAACATTAAAATTCCTGAGAATTCCACCACCCAGAGATCTTCATCAATAATGCTTAAGCAGGTTGTCTTCCTCTGTTTTCTATGTCTTCACAGGATGCTGTTTCTTCAGCAGAATTGGGATTAGGCTTTTAGAACTCATAATGCCTCCCTTTCCATGACTCCTTCATCTTTCATCACACTGATGAGAGCGTTTGAAAATATTTATAACTGTCAGGCACAGGGACATCAGAGCCATAGTTCACTGCACCCCAGACAGAGACTTCTGAGCGCATAGGAATTATTAGGACAATTGGCATCCATTTCCCAATCACCTGGCAACAGTGACCCACATCTCTTGAGATGAATCCTCTTCCCAGAAAAGAGGCACTATGATTTGGGTAACAGTCCTCACCTCAGGTCCAGGGGTGCTACAAGACCCAAGCATAAACCAATCAGGCCACTCAATTCTGACAGTCCCGCTGATGGTTTGTTTTGGTCCAATGAATGTCAATTCCAGGAACTTTGCTCAAAATCGTGGGATAAGAGAAGCTCTGAATATTTACATTTAGAGGGGATTCTAAATATTCCAAAATACAAGGCTGGACTGGTGGTCAGAGAGGAAGTGGGGTTACCATTTGGGGTTTGGGTGTGTCCAGCTCTACATGCTGCTAAGGCAGGTCCAGCCTCTATCTCCCACCACCAAGCAGACCCCCACTACAGCCCTTAGCAACCAGTACTCTAACCACTGATGCTCAGTCTACCACAGCTGACCGCCATCTTCTCAAGGGCAGGAGCCCCCAGGCTCATCTGCCGGGAGCTAGCTTGCTAAATAATTATTCATGACTTCATCAGGATGGAAAAAGAGCCAAGAGCTGAGAAAAAAGGACATTCTTGATACCGTCACTGAGGGATTTCCAGAGTCCAGCTCCTCTGATGGCTGCAGCAAAGACTTCATTTTCTTGTTCCTTCCTTTTGATTTCACTTTGTGACTCAGGACCAGGAGTGCAAGTGTGGTGACACTGCTACTGTCATCTAACCCAAGCAAGAGAAATTCGAGAAGTCACCTTGCAGATGATGCAGGAAAAACCAGCAGCACAGGTGGAGGAGGTCTGTAAGTTCCTGGGCCACACCCCTGCCTTCCTCTCCCTGACCAAGTATTTAGAAGGAAGAACGACCAGCAGCTCTGATCTGGGCAGACTTTCAAGGAAGATGCAGCCACTCCTGCTCTTGTTGGCCTTTCTTCTGCCCTCTGAGCCTGCAACAGGTGAGTGACCATCCCCATGCCAGAGGCTCCAGCCCATTTAACAACATCCTCTGGACCCCTGACCCTTCCACCCAGCACAGTCACAGATTTTCCTCAGTTTTAGACCAAGAATTTTCTAGAACCCAGCTCCCATCCCAAACTTAGACTAACAAGTGTGATGCTGCATAGACACACAACAAGGATGGCAGGAAGGAAGGGTGTTCACTAAAAGCATGTGAGCCTCTCTCTTATCAACTGGAAAGTGGGCTGTTCATAGAAAGGCATTGGGCAGAGGAAATGGAGCTCTAAAAGACAAGTAATTAAAATCCCTCATTCCAACTCAGGAAAGGGCAGATCAGACAAATCAGCTGCAGTAGTGGAACTGTCACTGGAACCAGCTAAGGAAATAGTTTCACTTCCTGGTTCCCTCATCCCCTCACCCCTGCCCAGGAGAGGACCCCAGGGAGCAGTGGATCTCAGAAGGGGCTGGGTGACTGCATGCAGAGCTTTTCTGTTGCCTTGGCTCTGCCAGAGGCCCGGGGACCCCATTTTCCACCAGACCTCCTCCTGCCTTCCCAAGCCATAGGCTGCTCCACACAGGGCCCTCCCTACATGATGATGGCCTTCACTCTCACAAGCACGATACATGCAAAACCTCAGCAGAAAGCTAAGTGAAGGACATTCATTCACTTAGCAAAAAATGTTTACTGACATCCTAGAACAGCTTAGACCATAGCACATGAGGATTTCAGAAAATCCAACGCTGTAAGCTCACAGACAGATTATTAGATACGGGCACCAGTCGGGACTTTAGCAGAAGCTCAGAAGGGTCGGGAGACTCACTGAGACACAAGGCGTAGGCAGAGCCCTGTCCACGATCCCTTGGGGCTCCAGCATTTTGAAGATCACACTTATCTCCTCCATATATGGTCTAAAGTAGGACAGGGACAACAAGCACTGCCCCCCCTTTTCTCACAGGGGGTTCAGAGGCTTGATGTTCAGAAGAGGTTATTCTGCTGCAAGGAGAACCTGGGAACACTGTCCCCCAGTGTCTGCAGGGCACTGTAGACCCCACCCTCAATCACTATTTTCCATAGCCTTCTCGGCAGACCACAACTGCTTCCACAAAATCCATCTTTCAGTTTTTTCTTTCAGGAATCATCATGGGAGGACATGAGGCGAAGCCCCATTCCCACCCCTACATGGCATGGATTCAGATTATGGATGAGGAGATGCCCAGTAGATGTGGTGGTGTCCTCGTGCAAGAGGACTTTGTTCTGACGGCTGCTCACTGCTGGGGAAGGTGAGGGTCCGCAGACAACTGACACCTCCTGAGACCCCTACAGGGACCCCTGTCCTCTGCCCAGGGGCTGCAGCCCAGGCAGCTCCCCCGACGCCTGGTAACTCAAGGCCATGAGAGGAACCATCTGAGAGCATGACTGGGCCATGGAAAGCAAGAAACAGGACAGGGAACCTTTGGGGTCAGAGGGTCAGAGGTGAGAGCAAGTGGCCCACTTGAGAAGAGAGACCACACTGGCCAAATAAAGCTGCTGTGGAGGATGAAAGCATGCATCAGGGTCAAAATGCAAACTCAGAGTCCTTTCACAATATTGCCTGAGGGCAAGAGAAAGCTTCCAGAATCCCTGCTCTCAGGGTCATTGAGAAGCACAGGGCACAGTGTCACTCAGCACTGGGCCCTTTTGTTGTCTCAGTTTCCCCTGGCTGCAGCCCTGCCCTCCCCTGGCTGTCACCTGCCCTTCATGGCTCTAGGGTTGTATCTCCTGTGACTCCATGCACCCACATCCCCACCCTGCTTTCTGTGTAGCTCAGTCAAGGTGACTCTGGGGGCCCACAACATTAAGAAGCAGGAGAGGACCCAGCAGGTCATCTCTGTGATAGAAACCATCCCCCACCCACACTATAATCCTAAGAAGTTCTCCAATGATATTATGTTACTAAAGGTAAGGGAACCTCCCTGCAGCTCTTGCTCACCTGGGTCCAGATGGCTTTCCCTCCCAATGGGACCTGTCCTTCATTCCTTCTCATCCTGACCACCTGACTAGTCCCAGTGGCTCTGGGGAGAGGGAAGTCAGTGCAGCCCAATCGCGGTGTCCAGGCCCAGGAGGCCAGTGGCTGAGCTGGACTTTCTTGCCTCTTCTCATCAGCTGGAGAGAAAGGCCATGCAGACTGCAGCTGTGAGGCCCCTCAGCCTGCCCAGGGGCCAGGCCCAGGTGAGGCCCGGAGAGGTATGCCATCTAGCCGGCTGGGGGCAAGTCAACCCAAGAGGCAGATTGTCCGACACTCTGCAGGAGGTGGAGCTGACTGTGCAGCAGGATCAGGTGTGCAAATCCCAGTTAGACAATTATTACAACAGTACCACTCAGCTGTGCGTGGGGGACCCGAAGGAAAAGAAGTCTTCCTTTAAGGTGAGACTGAGCATCTGTCTAGCTCGGCTCTGGGGAGAGGGGTGTTTTGGGACTTGGAGACCCAAGCAGTAGGGACTCCTTCACCCCCTAGACTCTGATCTTTCTCCTGGGAAGAGAAGGGGGCAGCAGCCAGAGTGGGGAGTCACAGGCCTTCTGGGAGCCTCCCAGGGGCCTGAGATGCATCCAAACGTGATGCTGTATCCGGAAGATGAATTTGCAACACTCTGCCCCATGCCAGGCGCAGGTGTTAGAATACTGGTCCCTGGGTGTGCAGCAATCAAACCAGGTGACTCCTCAGAGCCGGCTCCCATCTTGGTTAACTGGCTCACCCTCCATGCTGAGTGTCGTCCTCACCTGCCTGCTTCCAAGTTCTTAAATGGTAGACTGAAGCACAGTCCCACAGCGCCCTTACGGAAGAGGATCCAGGACCTGGGGGAGGAGAGGGATCCACCCCTTGACTGAAATGAAGCCGTGACAATGTCCAGGGTCAGGACTGGGAAGCTGAGGGGCCCACAGGGTCCTGCCCTGCCCTCTGATTCCCCACATGGAGGCCATGCCAGGCGACCTTCACTGAGAGGGCACTTGGGATGCAGGTGGGCAGGAGTAGGGAGCACGGATTCAATCCTCCCCACTCTTGGTCCACAGGGGGACTCTGGGGGCCCTCTTGTGTGTAAGAACGTGATCCAGGGCATTGTCTCCTATGGACGAATCAGCAGGACATCTCCACGGGCCTTCACCAAAGTCTCAAGTTTTTTACCCTGGTTAAACAAAATGATGAAAAGCCTCTAACTGTTGGAACCAGGCCATCTTCTCTGGAGCTGATCCAGAATGACACCAGTAACTAAATAAATGTCTCTGAGCTGAGCAGGAAGGGCTGGTTTCTTGTTTATTCACTGACCCTCATTCACAGGCACCTACTCTGTCCTTAGAAGGCCGGTGACACAAATCTGCCATTTTCTGCTTTCTCCTCTTCCCCCTCCCACCACCACCTCCCCAAAACCTCATGCAAAGCTGTTCCCCAGCTCCTTCTGACCCACACCTTTCTCTGGGCTTGCCCTTCTGCCAGGGCTGCAGCTGAGCACAATCAGGAGAAAACATGAATCTCTCTGATCCTGGGGCTCAGGTAACCTTCTTACCTCCTTCCCTGTGTTACATGGCAGGAGAAAGGGGGACAACACCATGCGTCCTGGATACCAAGCAGGCAAGCCTGGGGCTGCAGCTCAACAGCATAGCCCCCACACTGGGGTGGGGAGAGGTGACCTGAGCAGGACATTTCTCTCCCACAGCCGGGGAGCTGGCGCAGTGTGGGGGTGGGTCTCTGGAGAAGCTCCTTGTTCTCACCCAGCCTGAGTTTCCTCCCTGCCCTCCTGTGACCTTGGGGCCCAGCTTGCCCTCCAGTCTCCTGGCTGCCCCTTCTTCTCCATCCCTGCTTTCCACTGAGAGTTCTCAGTG